TGGAGGTGGTGATGTCGACGCACTCTCCCAGGTTTTGCTCGAACTAGTCAAGTAAGTCTGGGTTGGTGTCAGTGTAGAGCAGATCATCGACGTAGACTGTAAGGAGGATGTAGTCCCCGCGGATGTGGAGATGGTACATCTTGGTGTCATGGGGTAACTGGATGAAACCAATGTCCAGCAAAATGTCGTGCAGGTGCTACTGCCAGAGACGAGGTGCATGCTTGATCCCGTAAAGGGTCTTTTGGAGTTGGCATACGCGAGGGTTCGAAGAGGATGGAGCGGCTGGCCCAATCTGGAGGAGGAAAAGCAAGCGCAAGAAGGTCCAAGTTCCAGAGACTGACAGTGATGAAGACATTGAGGAGGTTGGAACTGCTAGTTTTGACTCTGAGTAGGCAGGCGGCGGCAGCATAGTCTAGTATAGGGCTCATTTCTAATGTAGGTTGTAGTGTAGGTAGTGCAGCAGCAGTAGCCGTAGCACCGTAGTGGTAGGCTGCCAGTAGTTTTCGGCTATTCCCAGAATAGATGCTGTTGCAATGATGTTATCAATGTATTTCAATCTGTTGTGGTAAAATCATACTTGCATTTCTGTAATCGATAGATATTGTCGAGTTACACTGTAGATAGCATCCGTAGAATGACGTCAGCAAATTGCGCTCATCTGGATGATTACCTTAGCAAGCCGTTTCAGTCACGCGAGCAGTCGCGCTCTTTTCAATAGCGGTTAGAGCGCATAGCGCAAATAGCTCGAACAAGTACATCACCGAATAGGTACTTCTAGTAGATATAAAAGTAGCTTGTACAACTTCAATTATCAACTTGTTCTTCAGTAATTCTGGTCAACACTTTACAAGTTCTAAGACTTCCACTGTCTTACTAGTCTACCATTCCAGCAAAGATCCTTGGTTAAGTCTGCAGATTCTATACTTAGTCTTCTGCACCACCTTTCAAATTCTTTCATGGTATGAGAGCTATCTAGAATTAAGACTACTGTCAACAATGACTGGACCATCATCATCTCCAATGTCTGCTTCTTCAACATTTGGACCCACGGGTGTAACAAATCCTACAGTCTTCACTGGTCAAACAGGTGACTCTGCAGCTGGAAATTTTCCACCTGCTTATTCTTCAATTGGGATGCCGCAAAAGCAGCAAGGAATGCCTGCTGTGCATCCACCGGGGACTTCCTCCTCTGTACCTGCAACATTACAGCAACAAGCAGCAGCATCAATATTAGCAGCCTTTAGTGGTATGAGTATCGATGGCTCCAGCTATGCAAGAGCTGCAGCTGCTCCAAGTTCCAGTTCTTCGTTTTCGTTTATACCTGCTCAACACCAACAATTTCAATTTCTTCAATAACAGCAGCAAGCGCAACAAAAGTTTCAGCAACAACAGCAACATCAACAGCAACCACAGCAACCGCAACAGCAAATTCCGCAGCAGCAGATTTCTTTTACTGGACCTGTTTGTCAGGCCTCGAATCTTTTGAGCAATACACAGATCAAGACAACCATACCTTTTAATGGCACTGACTTCTACGCTTGGAGTTTCGAATTCGAAATTCTCACGAAATCCGCTGGATTGTGGCCGTTCTTCAGTGGCGATTATTCGTATCCTGTTACGGGAACACAGATGGAACAACAGAGTTTTCTTCATGCTTCACTCAGCGCTTACACCGACCTTATCCGCAATCTTTTGCTGAAAGAGCAGCTCGGTATACGCTCACTTCACACAAGCTTGACTCCAACTGAATCTGCGTGGAAGCATTTGAAGGGATTATACATGGCATAGGATACAATTTTCGTGAGTAAAATTCTCTCACAACTGACAACTGTACAGATGCAGGGCAACGAGAACGTTTTGGATTATGTCAACAGGGCTCGAACACTTCGTGATCGATTGGAAAAGTGCGGCGGATACTTCCCAATGGACATGTTTGTCACAGTCCTTCTTACCGGCCTTGGAGCAGAATGGCGGCAGTGTCGATCCCTTCTTCGTCTTCAACCCAATCTTTCGGAAGCAGAAATCTGCTCAATCCTTCAAGCAGAGTAGCAAGATCTTGACCTGCAATCAGCACGTAACAAGAAAGGAGCAGTCAACATCAGTTTTTATTCAACGCCTACGAAACACGTCAACAAATACTTCTGCCACTACTGCAAAAGAGATGGACACAGTATAAAATTTTGCAACAAGCTTCACGCTGATATGAAAAGAGGAGTGCAACAGCAGTCGCAGTAGTTCAAGCAACCCGTGAAGCAGAATCCATCGACAACAACTCCTGCAACATCAGGAAAACAAAATTTTAGCTGCGTTACAACAGTTCATGCAACAGATTCAGATTTCGACGATGAAGATGAGTAGAGTTCTATCACGCAACCTGAGAATATGGTTTTACCTCAAGTTTATGCTAACCTTGCTTGAGTCATTGCAGGACCCAACACTTGGTATCTTGACTGTTGCTGCGGTCAACACATGTGTTCTGCCGAGATGCTCTTCATCACTCATCAACGTCCGCTTCGACGTCCAGTTCCTGTCACAGTTGCAAATGGACAAACAATATTGGCAAGATCAATTGGAAGTGTAATGCTGGATTCTGTCAACACCGGATTTTCCTTACACGTTACGAATGTTCTCATCATCGAAGGACTTGGCTTTAATCTCCTTTCAACGGCTCAGCTTCTACGACATAAGATCAGGACACAAGGAAACTGTGAGACAATGGACCAAGAACTTTATCATAATGAATCAAATACTTACATCGGGAGAGCCGCCACTCACTATGGGGTCTCCGTTCTTCAATTCGAGTTGCAAGGTACTACTGGATCTTCCGAGAGAGTGTTATCTCTTGGACCTTGGCAACATCCATAAGAAACTGACTTCCAAAACTTTGACATCGACTTCCGAGCAACTGCAGTTCCAACAGGTTCTCGTATAGCAGCAGCGGTTATCACGGCTCTTGATTCCCGGCCCACAAACACAGCCGAGGAAGATACATCAGTATGGAGGAACTATTACGACACTTTACAACAACTTGAGAACATACTACAGGACCTTGGGGACCCAGCAGCAGCAGTGAAGCAGAGGAAGCAGAGCAGCAGAGTAGCGGTGAGGTAGAAACAGGGATTCTCGTCGGTCAGCCTGTAACAGATTTAACAGAAATAGAAATTGAGGAAGGGGAATTAGTTCTTCAACGGGAAGAAGTTCTCGATGTGGAAATTACAACCACGAAGTTACCTCTTACTCGCTTCGTTCCTGGCGAACTCAACAAATCACCAGCGTTTTCTCCTTTCATCGTTTCTTCTTTTTATACTAACGTCGATTTTTATCTGTGATCAACAAGACACAAAGCAACCGAAGACATTTGGCATCAAAGGTTAGGACATCCTTCACCGGGAATACTTAACCATACCATCCGAGCTTCAGTTCTTGATAAAAAAAGTTTGCTCTCACCGAATGGAACCGAAGTGAAGCCGTCTTCACGACCAGCAGTCTGCACAACATGCGCAACCACAAGTTGAACCTGGAAAGTGACTTGGAAAAGGTTCAGCGCGAGGAAGCACGCCAGTCAACTGCAGGATGATGGCTCTTCATGTAAGATCGACTCCAGTGCTGCAAAAGAGAGATGGGGAGAGCGAGTCCACGGGAGCGATGGGATAGGAAATTCTTGTACACACTCAACTCCATGTCGGAGAACTTTGCAGGCCGGCCGCCGCCTACGAGACGTCGATGGCACGGGGCTTCTGCCTTCATCTTCTCTTCCGATTTCAGCCATCGGCGAATGCTGACGGGCTGCACGCCAGCGAGGTGTGCAGCAGCGCGGATGGAAAGCTTATCAGACCGCATCCACTCCAGCCACTCCGTCTTCTCCGCGATGGTGCGGTTCACGCGCTTGTGCAGATTCGGCTTGTTGCGGGCAGTGGGAGCTCTTCCATCGCGGTTGGCGTCGGAGGCGTCGACGTCGCGAAGGATCTCAGGAGGGAAGCGCAGGACAGGGAAAATGCGGCGCAAATCACTGCCTTCATCTGCGTCAGATTCAGCGGGGAGGTGGAGCAGGTGGAGCAGGCGGCGCTGGCGGCGCTGGGGGGGCCGGGGGAGCGGGAGGCGCAGGAGGCGCCGGTGGAGCAGGAGGCGATGGAGCTGCGGGAGAGTTTGACTGACAGGCGTAGGATCGGTTTGCTCTAGCCAGACGACTATGCATCAGAAACTGTAAAGCCGACATGATCCCAGTGGCGAAGGGACAACCGGAGCTAGGGAGGAGAAGGAAGATGCCATCCCTAGGCTTTGGCTGCTGGATTTCTAGCCGTGGAAGAAAATGGAAATGACTAGGGCTCGCTGCGACTACCCCCCTCTGAAGCCGGTATTGGGAGAGACGTGAAACGGAGGCGCTCAAGAGGGTTGTCAAGCTGTGCAGCACTGGCAAAAGGACCATTCACAGTTGAAATCTTCTGCTCGATTCTATAAACGTGCCTCCACTGCAGCAAAGATGAGTGTTGGCAGTCAAGCTGCCAACAGCCTTTCAGAAGCAGTGTGTTGGCAGCCATCGGGGTCCTTACAGGTGGCGCGTGGCCTCGGGATAGCTCGCGTCACAATTGCAGAACCCCTTGTCAAAACAAGAGTTCTCACTGTACAGCCATAAAAAAATCACCTCTGTATAAAATAGATGTCTTAGGGTCCTTACTATTTCCGGCCATATAAATGCACTTGTAAGAAATTTGCCTGAATTTTCAAAGAGTCCCTAGGGTGATATATACGGGGCAATCAAACAATAGCTATAAGGCCCAAAGCACGAGATAACGCCCATGGGACTTATCCCACGGAGGGGCGTCTATCCGGGTGATTACGGTAATGGTCGTAAGGGCATTTTACCCTGATATCCTGAGGCCTGGTGCTTTGGCAAATTGGCAATACTCTGTAGAGCTCCCCTGTTTTCTAGGCTGTATGCAGCTTGAATGATTATCCTTGGACTGTTACAGTTGATCTGAAGAGCTCTGTTGTGTCCTAGGCACATCTACAAGCTTTGATTTTCTAAAAGTGCGAACAACTGAATACCGGTACAAAGACTTTACACAGTGATATTCCTGTACAAGTCCTTCCATATCTCCCACGTTTCCCCGAACCAGTACCGGTCCCTATTGACACTCAGCATTCCAATCCGCGCCTTCCCCCGCCCAGCCACGCGCAGATTTTCAATCAGAACGGACCACGTCGACCCCATGGTGCCCACAAAGAACTCAGCATCCGCAGATATAAGAAGATTCACGAAGGCATTTTCTGTGGCCGCTTGCTCGCCCACCCGTGCGTCGTATGCATCCATGGATTCACCCAGCGCTTGCCTGGGAAAGTCCGTGGCATGGAAGAGCCAGCGAGTGTAGTGCTTGGTGGAGTCGATAACAGACTGAAGGGAGGGGGGAAACTGAGAGCTGGTTCAGAATGAGCAACTGTGACTGGTTGCAGACAACAAAGCCAGCAACCGAACGAGTGACTGGTGGAGCCATGCATGAGACGAGGAAGAGAGGGAGACGTACACTGTGCAGTGCAGTGTGGCGAGAGAGCATGAAAACTTGCTTTCGATTGATAGGTGGCAAGATTGTGCTCACCTGTATTTCTGCATCTCTCCTCCCATCCACCCACCTGCATCTCTCCTCCCATCCACCCACCTGCATATCTCCTCCCATCCACCCACCTGCATCTCTCCTCCCATCCACCCACCTGCATCTCTCCTCCCATCCACCCACCTGCATCTCTCCTCCTATCCACCCACCTGCATATCTCCTCCCATCCACCCACCTGCATCTCTCCTCCCATCCACCCACCTGCATCTCTCCTCCCATCCACCCACCTGCATCTCTCCTCCCACCCACCCACCTGCATCTCTGAGCTGAGCCACACCGAGTCGGCATAGGGGAACTGTCTCCTCACCCTGCCCGCCAGCGCCAGGTACACGTCAAGCCCTGCAATCGCCATCTCCCCTGCCTTGTCCCCTTGCCTCACATGCACCGCCACCAGCCCCTCCGGCAGATATGCTCCTCCTCCTGATAGATGTCCGCCTGGAGGCGCCCCTTTACTACCATGTACACCCCCGCCAGTCGCCCGCCAGATTTCCTCTATTTTCCCCTCGCTCCCGAGGGCGTTTCGGGCGGTGAAACCGGGCAGCTGCTCGACGGATTTCGGCCAATCGGCAGGCAGGAAGCGGGCTGCCCGGGCGGCGAGGGAAGGGCCGAAGGCGTGGTGGCGGGCGCGATTGAGGAGCAGGCAGAGACGGGGGGAGGGGTAGCGCATGAGGTAGGTAGACGCCTGGGGTGGTGGGGGATAGAGTGGGGGAGGAGAGGAGTAGAGAGGAGAGAAGAGAATGTAGGACTTTGAGTAAGAGGACGCCTCGGGTAGTGGAGGTGGTTCGAAGAGAGGGTGAAAAGCAGCAAGCCTGGGCAAGGAAAGGAGAAAATACCTGCTCGAAAGTTGTAGAGAGATTTCTGGAATGCGTGCGAAGGCAATCTGTGTATACAAAGGGTCGAGAACGCAGAGCCTGGAAGGAAAGAACACAACAGCAGGGCAGAGGCGCCTAGGGATGGTTGAGATCACACCTGGGCGAACCACCAACGGTGGCGATTGAACGCTGTCCATCGAATGAGCCTTCCATGCACGTCCACCGTCGGATGCATGTGCTTCCACGGATTACCCCATATGCTGCAGCAGCAACCAAGCGAAACACAAGCATTTTGAACATGGATCAGCTGCATGTGTGAAATGAATGGGCTGCAAACAGACATTATATGACATGAAACGCACTAGGAGGTAGATGAAACACATCAAACTATACATGAAACACATCAAACGATAGGCGAAATACACCGGGGAGGTAGATGAACGTGCAGAAAGGTACATGCGTGCACACAATCCACTAGACCACTCCTTGAAGAAGTCGGTCCTATTGTGCTCACGTAGGATAGTTGATGGTGAAGAAATTGGTCTTATTGCTGTCCAGGTACTCATTCCATAAAGTCACCCTCCTCGCACTCCAATCCCCCCCGCTGCTGTCACTCGCATTATTCCCAGCAGCAGCACCGCTGCCACCACCACCAGAGGAGCCATTTCCCAGAGGAGAGGCGAGAGTGGGGGAGGCGTGACTGGGGTGGGTAGAGTGCAGTAGCTGCAGGGCCTGCTGGCGGCACTCAGGGGAGGTCTCTGGCACAAAGTAGCAGGACCACAGGCCTCTATGGACACCTGTCGACATGCTATTGGGCGATGGGGATGGGAGAGAGCGAGGCGGGGCGATGACGGGAAGGTCGGGTGCGGGTATGGATGGAGGAGGGAGCAGCGTGAGAGTGTGAGGGAGAAAGGCAACGGATATCATGGTTCACGCACATCCAGCCAACCCACCCCCCGCCTGGTGGAAGCAGCAACACTGATGCGATGAGAAATGGGCCTAATGCAAGTCAAGGAGCCTATTGCATCAGCAGAGCCACTTCTCCTACCCATCAGTGCATTCGAAACACCCCATATGTGACAGTAACGAGATCCCAAAATCTTGCCCTCAAACACGCCCATCTTCTATACCCACCCTTTCATAATTGTCCCTCCACTATCGCCATCCCCAGCAGCCCTTACTCTACTCTCACCCTCCCTCCCTCCCAGCACTGCAAGTCACCCATCAGTGCACCCCTCGTGGTCTGCCCGGTGATAATAACAAATCACCATCACCTACCCCTCCCCCATGGCTGTCCCCAAGCACGCCCGTGATATACTCGCACCCTCCCTCCCAGCACTGCAAGTCACCCATCAGTGCACCCCTTGTGGTCCGCCCGCTGGTAGTATCGGACCACCATCACCCGCCCCTCCACCATCGCCGTTCCCAGCAATGCCATCATCCTCCCTTTCAAGTGTCACCCACCAGTGCACCCGTCATGATCCGCCCGGTGGTAGTGCCGGATCACCATCACCCGCCCCTCCCCCACCGCCGTCCCCAGCACGCCCGCCAGCCAGTTGACCTGCGCGCCCACGCCCAGGAACCTTCCACGGACCTTCCTCAGCACGTCCACCACAAGAAACTTGACTGAGGGGTGGGCGCAGTCCGTGGGGTGCTGCTGCACCCAAATGTCCCGCTGCGCGCGGCGGGTCATGACCAGATTGCCCTCGTCTGCTCCTGCCACCTGGTGGGTGATACACAGCATGGTGTGTGTGTGTGTGTGTGTGTGTGTGTGTGTGTGTGTGTGTGTGTGTGTGTGTGTGTGTGTGTGTGTGTGTGTGTGTGTGTGTGTGTGTGTGTGCGTGTGCGTGCGTGCGTGCGTGTGTGCGTGCGTGCGCGTGCGTGAGTGAGAGAGAGAGCATGAGAGAGTGTGCAGGAGAGAGAGGCATAAACACACAGCGCGAGATGTGGTGTGAGCAGTCCCTTGAGTGCTGCTGCACCCAGATAATTTTCTCGGCACGACGGGTCGTTCGTGGTTAGGTTGCCTTCGTCTGATCCTGATATTCGGTGGGGGATAGACAGCATGGTGTGTATGTGTGCGTGTGTGTGTGTGCGTGCTTGTGTGTGTGAGTGTGTGCGTGTGTGTGTGTGGTGGGTGTGGGTGTGTGGGTGTGTGCGTGTGTGCACTTTGAGTCCGCATGCAGACCGCCTATCGGCTGCCCGTCTCCTCCCGCTGCCAACCATGCCGGCTCTTATGAGCACACACACACAAGGCACCTGACCCAAAGCTCTCACCCAGGGCGGGTACGGCCCGAGAACAGTCTTCCTGCTGGCGCCCATGAGCTGCTCGTCCCGTGCTGCTGCCATCCATGCCGCCACCTCCGCCTCCTCCTGGCTCGCCCCCACCCGCTCCCTCATCCGCTCCTCCACCTGCCGCCGCAGCGCCTCGTGCTCCAGCGACCTCGCCTGCTCCTCCTGCTCCAACTGCCTCTCCTCCTCCTCATGCTCGAGTGACCTCTCCCGCCCCTCCTGCCTTATTAACCGCGCCTGCTCCTCTTTCCTCAGCTGTCTCTCCTCCTCCTGCACTGGCCCCGCTACCTCTGATTCCGTATCCCCACGCCCCTCTCCTTCCCTTGCTCTCTCCCTCCTCACCTTTTCCCTTTCCCTCTCCTCCAATCTTTGTGCCACTAATGCCAGCCTGCCGCCCCAAACCGACCAATCGGGGAGCGCCCCGTCAGCAGACCGCGAATCGAGAAGGCTGGAATGGGCAGAAAAGCAGGAAAACGGTGCAGACTCAAGGGCAGGCGATGAAAGGGTGGGGATAGCAGCAACCCTTTATGGAGCGTCAAGCTTCGTCTGAGAACAACTGAAGGCAATTAGGACGGGTGACAGGCCACAGGAAGGTGGGAGGAGTGAGAATGCAAAGCAGTGTAGGGGGTGAGGAACGAGAGGAGCCACAGCACGGGGAGAGGTGGGTTGGGGGCGGAAGGGTGGAGGGTGAGAGAGGCGGGTGGGTGATTCAGGTTGTTGGACAAGGAGGCATGGGGGGAAGCAAGGAACCTAGAGAACGAACCAGTGGATGAGGTGAGGTGTGCAAGCACATGCTCCATGCATGCATGCATGCATGCACCATGGAACAGCTGGTGATGGATGGATGGACTTGAGCACGCGACTGACCCAACATCCCTAGCCATCACCAGGCACTGCCGGCGGCGTTCCTCATGCACTTGTAGGAGTTACGTACAAGCACATGCATGCACCCACATGCATCCACCACATGCATACACCCACATGCATCCACCCACATGCATACACTCACATGCATACACCCACATGCATCCACCCACATGCATACACTCACATGCATACACCCACATGCATCCACCCACATGCATACACCCACATGCATACAGTCACATGCATACACCCACATGCATACAGTCACATGCATACACCCACATGCATACAGTCACATGCATACACCCACATGCATACAGTCACATGCATACACCCACATGCATACAGTCACATGCATACACCCACATGCATACAGTCACATGCATACACCCACATGCATACAGTCACATGCATACACCCACATGCATACATGACTGACCTGACCTGTTTGGACAGTGAGTCACAGTCCTCCACATGGGGTGCTGCTGAAGCTAAGTTGGTTCCTTACATTACGTTTACGTACGTGTACGTTTACGTTTACGTACGTTAACGCGATTCTGGTTTTTGGCCTGCATGTACGGGCAGCCAAAAACTTTTTAGGCTGCCCAAGGGAAAAAATGAGGGGGGATGGAAAGTCGACTTTTTGTAAAAACGTTTGTAGGTTCTGATCTTCTAGTACAGTAGAAGATTATCACGAGTGCGGTGCGACGAAAGTACAAAATTGTTTGGCGAAATTCCGCATGCGCGAAATCTCGTCGCTGGTGCGTGTCAAATTTGGTGCGCCGGCAATCCAACCAGCCAATGAACAACCCCTACCTGACCCAACCCAACCCCCCTCGACATGTGTTTCTCCTTCCCCTGTCGACGAATGCCAATCGCTAACCTTACTCCAGCGACAATCAAGTCTAGACTACGTAGCATCTTACGACTATGAGGAGCGCGGATACTATCAGCGCAACGAATTAAGTTGCGACTTAGATTGATGGGGTGGATCAGTGCGAAGCGTAGGCATCAGCCGTAGCTTAGCCCTGAACAGCTTAGTAGTAGCTGCAAATCGCGTTTTCTTAGGGGGAAATTTTTGCCCGGGAAAATTTTTTGAGGCCTGCCCGGCGACGTACACGTAACGTACGCGTAACGTAACGTACACGTAAAGTTACGCGTACTTTACGTGTACGTGGGCTAAAGTCACGTAAGGTACCAACTTAGTGCTGAAGGCACCAGCCGCAGTTGGTTATGCTCCTCATGTTTTCTCAGCACATGCACATACACATGCGCGCACACACGCACATGCCCATGCATACTTCACATGCACCTACTCGCACCACCACTAACCTGACATCCCTGGCCAGCGATTCACAGTCCTCCACATGCGGTGCTGCAGGCACTAACCGCTCCTCCTCCTCCTCACTCAACCACACCTCCTCCCCCGCTACCGTAACATTCCCTCCACCCACACCCAGAGTCTCAAACTGTCTCCCCTTCCGCCCCTCTCTCTCCCTTGCCTCTTCGCCTCCCCCCTCCTTCCCTCCCCCCTCCTTTATCTCCCCCTCGCCCCTCACTGCCCGCCTCAGCTCTCTCAGCGCCTCCTGCACAGCAGCGCTGCGCACATCTCTCAGCTGAAGGGACGGGGAAGCTTCCCACAGAGTCAAGAGGGCTCGGTCCGTCGCACCCACAGCGCCCCCAAGGCCCTCGCGAGCACCATGGCGCGCATTCCCTTCAACCGCCTCGTCCCTCCCGCCACCCCTGCTTTCCTCTCCACCCCTTCCCCCGTCCCACACCTCCCCACTGCCCTCACTTCCGTTCCACCCCCTCCCACTGCCCTGGCCTCTGCCCCCTCCCTCCAGTTGATGCTGCGAGTGCAAACTGCCACTCGTGCCACACGCCTCTAGCTTTGCCATCAGGTGGGAGACGTCGTGCCGGAGCATCTGATTGGTCCACCTCAGCGCGCTCTGATTGGCCTGGCAATGCTCCTCCTTCCACTGTTGAGATGCTCCCCTCACGGACTCACACGCGCACATGTATGGATGGAGGCACATGGATGTGGGCAAACACACGCACACATACATGCACGCGGACACACGGGTGGGGACAGGGAGAGGGTTGGGTTGACGAACTAAGAGTGGAGAGGGAAGGAAGGAGGGCGTGGGAGGGGGAGCAGAGCACCAGCGCAAGGCGAAACAACACCTCGAGGCTCTTCATGTCGATTGCCAGCTGAGCCCTCCAACCTCAACCCTTCTGCTGGGCATCCCGTTTGCTGCCTGTACCCGTCTCACTGCCGGCTGCCAGCTGAGCCCTTCCACCTCAACCCTCATGCTGCCTGTATCTATTGATGCCTGTCAGTGCCGGTCCCACTGCCCCCGTCACGCCACTCACCAGCGCCAGGCGGAACGACACCTCGAGGCTCTTCATCCCCGCTGCCAGCTCCTGCAGCACATCGCCGCCTCCCCCCTCGCCTCCCTCCCCTCCGTCCCCCCCATCCCCCCCGGCTAACTTCATCAGCTCCTGCTGCTGCTGGCACGCCATCAGTGCACTCTCGCAGTCACCCTCCAAACCCCCCCCAACCGACTCTGGTTCTGGTTTTCCCGGCAACACTGACCCCTCTGTGAAAGCCCCACGTGCTACTACACCGGAGGAAACTCCTCCTCTGGCCGCCTCAGGCCCTTCAGCAGGCCCGTTATAAGAACGCCCCCTAGAAGCACTCGCCAACTCTGGCGTTGATTCACGAACCCCGTCTGCCCTCAATCCGGCTGGAATCGGTTGGTCCTCTGCAGGACCGGAAATTGCTGATTGCGTTGGCAATGATTGGATGGTGCGTTGCTGCTGCTGTGCTTGCGACTGAAGGGCTGAATGCGCCGACGTGAGAGCCGAATGCTGCAGAGCGAGCTGTGAATAATTCGCCTGAAACGCGAGACGGAAGAATATTTGCAAGGGAAACGAGCAGCTGTCTGTCACGCAAGAGGCTCAAGATAAAAAAAAACAGCTGCGTGTATTCTACACGGTTTTAAAAAGAACACGTTTGATGCTATGTTTTGCAACGAGCAATGTGGCAACGAGCCGCTAAAGACGAACACGGTGAACGCACTTGGGCCAAGGTTGCCGGAGGACCAAGATTTCCACAATGTGAAGCTTGCTAGAAGACCAAGATACTCACAAAATTACGTTTTCTGAAAGACCAGGCTTCCCACAAAACCAAGCTTGCTCGAACAGTCACAAACGGACCTGAAGGTCAGTCATCGCCTGCTGCAATTCCTGGAACTTTCTCCAAAGTTCCACGCATGCCAGCCCCCCCTGCAGCTTCGTCTTCCCGTGAGCACCGCCGCGATTCCCGCCAGAATCGGAGCTAACTGCGAGTCGTCCATTCCCTGGCCCGAGATTTCTCAGCGAATCGACGACTCCGTGCGAAGGCGGCTCGATTATAACAGGCTCGGATTGCCGAGCCTCGAAGGGCTGCTCGGTTTGGACAAGCGCGGATGGACGATAATCGAAACGTTGCTGGGATCGGGGAGGCGCGCGGAAGAACCGGCGGAGGTCGCGACGAGCGGCGAGTGCGGGGAGGTCGAGAGGCGGCAGGCGGAAGGTGAGGAAGGGAAGAGTGACGGCGACGGCAGTGAGCAGCAGGGCGAGCAGCTTGACGGAACAGACGACGGGACGATATCGAGGCATGACGTGATGCGACGACGGACGTCGACGCGAACCACGATACGCTATGCGTGCTACGAACCGATCCTTACGCGTTCTAAGAACCCATCCATATGCGGCGAGGAAATCGCGCGCTTCGACGAAAATCAAGTTTGGTTCAAAACGGTCGACCCTTTTTGCGCGGGAGGTATAGCATGGGGAAAGTATACCGGCGCTGAGTATTAGGGGCCTCGATAACATGTACGGTCAGTGACACGATATGAACAATCAGAATTAGCGAGTTTGTAACATGTTTAATCAGTCGGGTTCCATCGTTAGTCAGAAACTGCAGGAAAAAAGTTCCACGAATAGTCAGTAGAAGTAACCCCCGGCCGTCGAGGAACGTTTTCCCGCTCGCGCCAGCCCAATTTCGTCATCATTGCGGCTGGCGCGATATTTTTCCCAAGCTCCAGGCGCAGTTCGAGCTCCAAGCCCGGCGACCAGAGCCACCCCCTCCGGCTGTAGCGGATCCAGTGGTCGACAGGAGGCTGAAGGACCTGGCTAACGACCTGTACAACATCAACTGTGCCCTCAGCCAAGAGCACCAGACCTTCAACGACATCAACTCCCGTGTGCGCGATGTCGAGTCAGGCCACTCCACGCTTCACTGCCGCATCGACGCAGTGGAAAGATGTTTGGGGGAGCTGAGGGCGGTCGTCGACAGCCTCGTGCATACAGCCCCTGTGCCACACAGCCCTGAAAGAGCGGGCGGCAGCCACTCTGCACCGCACGACCCTGCCCCCAAGCCTCCAACGGCACCAGTGCATCCTGAAATGGCAGCCTTTGCGCATGTGGGCCCGCTGGACCCCTCGGCGGTGCAGCGTGCCGAACTAGTCATAGGACAGGTGCTACAAGCAGCTGCGGGACCGGAGACCGTGCGTGGGGAAGTCCCAGCACCCTCCGCGGCTGCGGGATCCACAATGCCCGACACGGAGGGGGATGCTGTTTCCCAACAGACTGTGGGTGGCAGCGCACGCGTCCGGACGTTGGCGTACACGGGTGTCGGCCTTCACACCTCTGGGCTTTGGGCGGGCTATGTAGCGCTGGATCTGTCTCGCAACTATGCCCATCAGCTAGGGCTGTTCTACTCGGAAGAGGCAGCCGCAGACGGAGTTGCTGCAGCAGCTTACAGGTGGCGGAGGGACAGGCCCCTTAAGCGTGGGAAAGTGAGGGTTCTCTCGGCTGAGGACCGGGCCCTGCTGGCCCGGATGCCGATGGAAGCGGCGCAGGAGCTCTTGCATCTGAGGAAATGTTCGGCCTGGCGTGATTGGAGGAAGGAGCTGCACCCGGAAGAGTTTGCTGGATCGCAGGCCACAGGATGCCAGCGTGCGGCAGCCCAGACGGACTTGCCATCCACCACTCCCGCTGTGCCTCCCCCTGATGCGGCTCCCCCCACCGTCACCACCCCTGCCGCTCCTGCCGCAGCGGCTGCAGCCAGCTCTCACCAGAGCGTCCGCCAGCAGCCCGCGACCGACACTGGTGCTGCTCCAGTCGTCACCCAACCACCCCCGCCAAATCCCACTATCCCACTGTCCGCCGAGCCGGTGCAGCACCACGTGTCGCCGGTGGAGGAGTTACTGCCGGTAACAGCCGGCCCCCTCCCGACCAATCGTTCCCAGGTACACACCCCTGTGGCATAGACCGGCACATCTGCATTAAACTCTGCGCCACCACCTGTCCAGCCGTCACGGGAGAACCCCGCTTCTGCTGACCAGCATCCGGCCGCGTCGTTGTTGGGCCCTGACAGAGAGCATGGCATGCCGACTGGGGCCGGTAGCGGCAATGGTGGTGTCGTGGCTGCTAATCCCAACGACGCCCTGCCCTGATATGCCACAGAAGGTATGGGACATGCTCACCAAACGCAGAAGCAATACACGCCCAATGTTATATTATAAGTCCACAACTTATATGCTACAGCCTGCTGCATTCTCTATGTGTGGGCGGGTTTGAGCCCCAGGGATCATCAATCCGGCGTTTGTGCGAACGGACACGCTCTATCGTGCGCACGCCAGGCTGTTGGGGTTCCCCTTCTAGGTTTCTTTTTGGGTGGATGTGCTGTCAGGTCTGAACATGCCGTCCTGTATTCGCCATTTGTTATAGGAAATTAATACTGTGGATAGGTTCCCTCAAAAGCTAGCATCACCTTCACTACTGCTGCATGGCTCTATAATGTATTGGTAATTGACAACCATGCTTGAACTACGCAGAACACGCCTCTCGACGCCATGGCCCATTGGCACACCCAACAAAACCTGGGTAAACGAGACCTCGCGGGGTCACGCGTGACCACGCAAGGCCAATTGGCACCTGACAAGACATCGCTGAGCCCGTCGCAGTGGCAATCGCCAGGGGGTGACTAGGCCGCATAGGTCCGTGGGCCCTCGCGGGATCTTGCGGGAGTACGTGTGTTGGGGCGTCACTCGTGCAGCTCCAAGTATCCCAAGTAACAGAAACTGCCCTGCAGCGAGACGTGCAAAAGATGTACATGTAAAACTATCGAATACTATAATCGGTCGGTCAAGGCACCATCAAAACAGATGTTTGCCACACCTGTTGTTCTATATACCCCTTTATCAATGAATACTGTCTTGCATTGTTCTGGGAGGGATTGCAACGACTGGGTAACCGGGAGACCTCGGTGGGGAAAGCCGGCGGACAAGGCGACATACTCACCAAAAGTGAGGTACGTATACGTGTACATACACGTTGACACTGATGTCATCAGGAGGGTTAGGCCCCACATATCCACCTTCCCCGAGGAAAACCTCCCCTGTACCCTCCCTAAAGAGAGAGTGAGGATCGACAGGGTTATCCCAGTGCCACGACAGTCTAACCTCTAAGGCAAAGGTTAGAAGAACCTTCTGGAGGAGTACACAGGAAACGTGAGTAACCCAGGGCGGCACTGTCAAACATATCCTGGTATGTTGTTATAGACTACACAGGGTTGTGCCTTAGAGAGTACAACCCACTAGGTTATATTCCCTTGTACGCCATGGTTCTAGTCATTTGTTAACTTTGATAGGCACTACTAGTCCAGCCACTAGATCAGGCGCCACAAGGCCAAATGAAGTACGCGGGTCTGGCGGCCGTACTGTAGCATGCGCAGTAGGAAGTACCGCAGCTGGATGTGCTACACTCTGCCGTCCAGCCAAGGCGCCAGATACAGGAGGATCATGGCCGTGTAAACAGTGTACAAGACTGGGGCAGAGCTAGGCCACTCACGGTAGGCTAAAGCTATAGCCCTGGGAGGACCTCATCGTATCTACATCGTCTGCCCACGGAGCGTCTGCGTGCCCTTTAAGGACAGCACAGCCTGCTGTCAGAAACTCACCCATATTAGATATGTTTTTTCCACGGGAGGTGCAACGTTTGAGACATTGGCAACATCATTCCACTTTTAATTGTGGGTTTGATGTCCACGCTGATTGAGAATTCACACAACCTTATACTGTAAACTTGTTCGGATGCGAACGGGCGAGTGTAGAGCCCCCATGTTACTACTGGAGGTGATGGCCTCCGCAAGTGGGATTACGAGGGAGTACGCGACGGTTCGCGTGTTCTCGCGGCTGTCACATTCTCAGCAGACTGCCTCGTCGTGGTTTCGTGTGATAGCAAATGGATCCTCGCGGATTCGCGAGGGCCCACACTGGGTTTCACGCGACTATATTTCACAGATACTGGCGTTGGGCATTGGGCGCCATTCCAGGCTCGACCACGCCAGATTCCGTGACCTCTAGTGATGTTGCTACGTCCTGAATGGTGTCCGCATTGTACAGCTAATAAGAGGACGATGTTGTTGTTCTGCACAAATAATCCAAGCCTGTGAACACTCCTGTCCTTAGGGTCTTGGATCTTGAATGCTTTTACTATACCGTTTTCCATTGGGTTTTATTGATGTTTGGAAGTCCTATAAAAGCAGACAGCCACGAGACCATGGCCGTGCTGTTATGTCGCAGCCTTACTAACTGGCATGCCAAGGCCCATCGGCTGGCGACTATCGGGTCCACGGCTGCCCTTGCGTCGTCTGTGACCCTACCATCTACATTGTTGGCCCACGTTGTTTAGCGCCCTGTTGCCATTGCTACTATAGCTCCCCTTCCCATACATCTTGGTGGCTCCACTGCTGCTGCTGCTGCTGCAGCCAGCCGCCATGCTGAGAAGCATGGTTCTCTCCTGACGCATTTACGTCCACCCGGCGGAGCCCCGGCTCCCACTGATGTCTGTTTTGCATCTGATTATGCTGCACTGGCTGCAGAGGGGGTTGCTGTTGTGACACCGGACCTCCAAACCACGACCCATGTGGAATCGCCCTACTCAGCGGATGTTGTTGCCGTCGCCGTTGTCCTGCTCCCGGCCCTTCCCGAGTCCGCTCTTCTTCCGGGGAAGGGGGCAGGCCCCTGCTCTTGCTGCTGGGCCCGGCTGGTGCTGGCCCGTAGTCCACGGGTGCCCTTGCTGCTGTTGATGCAGTTCGAAGGCAGCCCTGGCCTCGTGTTGCCGCCCCGGTACCACTGGTTCTGTCTGATGATATTGCTGCTGCTGCCCATGGGCAGGTCCCTGCTGCTATTGCTGCTGCTCTGGCGCCGGCCTCTCCTGCTGGCTCAGCCATGCTCCCGCCCCCGTCGGTCCATGCTGTTGTCGCTGCTGCCCGTGGGGAGGCGCCCGTGTTTGATGGCGCTTGCCGCGCCCACGCTCCCGGCGCCGCTGCTGTTGCTGGCCCTGCTGCCACTGTCGCTCTCTTGCCTCAGCCTACCGCCACACCCTGCGTGCTCTCATTTGGCGCTGCCGCTCTTGGAGTGTCATGTTACCCACAGGCGGGGGATGCTCCTCATTCTGCAGACCAATCTCAGGAGCTTCCTCGTCTCCATCCTTACCATCACCATCTCCCTGAAACTCCCACTGGTCATGAGAGGGCAGTCCATCGTCTTTGTCACACGATCGAATGTGTCGAGGAAAGGTTGCACTATCGATCAGTACAAGGCGCTTTTATACTTCCAAAGTACATCAGGTAACCAGGTTTATCTTATCCCAAGGGAATAGACCCTTCTAGAAAATAGAATCACTCTGCGTATAGCCACGCGAGGCTATTGGCTTTAAGGGATTACGGCAGGATTACGCTAGATATAGCGTACCAGTACATCCCGAGCCTGGTCGGCGATATAATGAGAATAACAAGATAAACCAAAGGTTTATGAAAAAGGAGAAATAGGAATCCAAATGGAATGAGATAAAAAGAGGAATGAAATGGAAAGGGAATATGGAAAGGAGAAGAGAATGGGATGGGGTCGTACTCTCACACTTCCCCCCCTCAAAGCTGGGTGGTAGACGTGACACCCTGCTTGACAAGGTAGTCGCGAAGAGGACGACGAGCGTGGTCCATCTCGGATTCAGAGACCCAACTATCCTCTGAAGGATCATAACCCTTCCAACGGATGAGAAGCTCCACGGTGCCATTCCGTCGACGGCGGTGAGCAAGCACGGACTCGAACTCGTACTCGGGTTCATCATGGAAGAGGACGGGCGGCGGCGGCGGCGGTTGGCGTCCAGAGAAGATCGCGTTGGGATCTCGGTAGGGCTTCAAGTGTTGGACATGGAAGGCGTTGTGAATCTTCCAGGGAGCTGGCAAGCGTAAGCGGAAGGTAACAGGAGTGACCTGTGCTTCACGAGAAAAGGCCCGCAGAAGCGAGGTCGCAGCTTGGATGGAAGATGGCTGATGTCAAGATTGCGCGTGTCGAGTAGGACTCGATCTCCCACTGTGATGGTGTGGTCTATGCGGTGGCGATCGGCCTAGCGCTTTTGTTGTTGCTGAATGTCGAGAAGGCGCTTGTGGGTCCGATCCCAAAGTTTGTGCATTGTCGTGATGAAATCATGAGCGGGTTGGACTGTGGCTGGTATGTTTGGCTGTTGAGGTGTGAGTGGGTGGTGTCCGTAACAGAGAAAACGGTGTCTGTCCAGTAGCGGCGTGAGTAGCATTGTTGTAGGCAAACTCCAGGACGGGCAGATGCAAGTCCCATTTGGAGATGTCGTCCTTGCAGGCTGCGCGGAGGAGTTGCTCCACAATTTGGTTGAGGCGCTCGGTCTGTCCATCTGTCTGCGGATGGTAGGCGGATGACATGGCGAGTTTGGTTGAGAGTAGAGACATCAGTTCTTTCCAAAATTTGCTGGTGAACTTAGGGTCTCGGTCGGAGATGAGTGTGGTTGGGATGCCATGTTGTGAGATGATGTAGCGAATAAAGAGTTGTGCCGTCTCCTCGGTGCGTGCTGTCGTGTGTGTCGGGATGAAGTGTCCCATTTTGGAGAACTTGTCAATGACGACGAGGATCGCGTTATGACCGCTTGTGGTAGTTGGTAGCCCGGTGATGAAGTCTAGGCTTACCACTTGCCATGGCTGTTCTGGGACAGGAAGAGGCTGTAGTAGACCCACCTTTTTCTGTTTGCTGCTCTTCATCCGCTGACATGTAGTGCACGAGGTAACGAATTTCTGCACGTCATCTGCCATGTGGGGCCAGTAGTAGTGTTTGGCGATACCGGTGAGCGTCTTGTTGCTACCGAAGTGTCCCGCATATAGGACGCCGTGGTATTCTTCGAGTAGTAACTGGCGTAATGGAGGGTAATTAGGTACCCAGATCTTCGTTGATCCTTTCCGGTACGCGATGTCGTTGTCCCACAGTAGCAGATGTCGCTTCTCTGCCAAGGGAATTTCGGGGTCGATGGTGTACCCGTGTGTGAAGAGTCCCTTGAGTAGTGGATTCATCCCTTCAACTTGGATAGCGGCAACATGTGCAGGCCGGCTAAGCGCATCTGCTTTGTTTTTATGTCCTGGCTTGCACACAATGTCATAGTGGAAGTGTGTCTCGAGGAAGTCGATCCACCGAACCTGTCGCCTGGAGAGGCTTGGTTGCGTCTTCAAAAATTTTAGGCTGCAATGGTCCGTGTAGACTGTTGTCTTGCATCCCTCGAGATAGCATCTCTACGTTTTGAAGGCGATGATGATAGCAAGGGCCTCCTTGTCGTGTATCGGGTAGTTGAGTTCTGCCCCGTGTAGTTTCTTGCTGAGATAGGCGATTGGTTGCAGGCCATTCCCTGGTCTTGCATCAAGACTGCTCCCACTGCCTGGTCGCTGGCCTCAGCTTCGATGACGTAGGCGCGTTCGGGGTCTGGCAAGATGAGTACTGGTGCGGACGTGAGTGCTTGTTTCAGCTGCTCCATAGCTTCCTGGTGTTTTGGCTCCCATTTATAGGGCGTGTTCTTCTTCAGCAGATTCGTGAGTGGCGCGGCAATTTTCGCGTATTGCGGCATGAACCTGTTGTAGTAGTTAGCGAAGCCAAGGAACTGCTGTAACTCCTTCACGTTCTCGAGTGTCTTCCACGTACGCACGGCTTCGATTTTCTTGGGGTCGACGTGAACTCCTTGAGCGCTTACGATATGTCCGAGGAATTGGACTTTCTCGAGGGCGAAGTTGCTCTTGGATAGTTTGACGTAGAAGCGTTCTCGTCGATTATCTCGAAGACGTGTCGTAAGTGTTTGACGTGTTGTTGCATGTGGTGTGAGTAGACGAGAATGTCGTCCAGGTACACTACCATGCATTTGTCCAAGAGTGGGCGTAGGATGTGATTCATCTCTACTTGGAACGTTGAAGGTGTGTTGGTGAGTCCGATCGGCATCACCAGATACTCGTACGATCCGAATTGAGTTCGGAAGGCCATTTTGTGAACGGAATCGTCCGCCATTCTTATCTGCCAGTATCCGGACCGCAGTTCTAATTTTGAAAATACCGTGGCTCCCTAAAGCTGGTCGAGCAGATCATCGATTCGTGGAATCGGATACTTGTTCTTGATGGTCTGCTTGTTGAGAGCTCAGTAGTCGATGCACATGCGCAAGCTTCCGTCCGGTTTCGGTATGAAGAGTACTGGGGCACCGTATGGTGAAGTGGATGGTCGGATGAGTCCTTTGGCGAGGAGATACTCGATTAGTTTTTTCATGTCGGCTAGCTCTGTGGGGCTGAGCCGATATGGTGCTCGGAAGGTCGACTTCGAACCTGGTTCCTCCACGATCTCGTGTTGGTGCGTTCGGTATGGCAGTAGCTCGTCCGGGAGGTCGTCGGGGAGAATGTCTTGGAACTCCTTCAGTAATTCCTTGATTTTTCCTGGAGGTTCCGAGGTCTTCTCTCCGTCGGTTTCCACCTCTGTTGCTATCACCAGGAATCCGGTGTTGGTTCGCTTGACGTCCTTCTCGAATCTGGCGAGTGTCTCCACTGGGATATCTCCTGTATCATCCTAGCTGGGTAGCTGGACTCTCCTTCCTTTGTTGTAGATGCTTGCGGTGCGGTTTACCCAGTTGATCTCGGGGTTGAATCGTTTTAGGAAGTCTCGCCCGAAGATCAGGTCAAGCCCTTTTATGTTGGTGATGGGGAGTGCAGGTTTCCAGCGCAGTGGCTCGATTTGTAGGTGTAGCACTGCTTTGCCGTATACTGGTAACTTGCTGCCGTCCACCATCGTTGCAGAGAATCCTGAAGGCTTGTACTCTTCCCGAAGTCGGTCGATGGTTGCCTTATCGCATACGGTGTGTGATGCTCCGCTGTCCACAAGTGCTTGGAGGCGTCGTCCTTTGCAGATGACCTCGAGCACGAGGGGCAGGCGTTGTTCGGAGTACCCAAAGATAGTTTCATTGATTGGGTCATAGGGTACATCCCAATATTCGTTGCTTCCTACCCTTGAGCTGGCAGCTGGCCGAGGCTGCTTGGAGAAAGGCTCTTCTCCAAAACCTGGAGTTTCCGTGACGACTGTTCGTGTCGTTGACGAAGTTGCCGAGTTGGATGCATCCGAAGAAGGAGTTCGGGGGTTTTGCAGCTTCTTGTAGACCCCCAGCTTCCTTTTGAGCTGCTTCAGCTCCACCGACATCTTCTCTGGGGAACGGGTAGTCGCTGTGGGCTGGTGTCGGGAGAGGACGTTGACTCCGTGGAAAGATCGGCTTCTTTCCACACTCCTTAATTTGGTCCCCAAGTTCTCTGGTACCGGTATGATCTCCACAATTTTCTGCTTCTTCTGGAGTCCCTCCCGTATTTTCTCCAAGGCTCTAGCCCCTCGAGAATTACAAGTTTTCATTAAAGCATCTTTATAGGATAGCTTTAATGAATCCTTATAATTTCTTGGGTCTTCAAGGAGTTTCCCCGTCTCGGCAGAGTCCTTTTTCGCGGAGTTAGATTTTTCCTCGGCGAATTCCTCTGGCAAAGACTGGTCGTGGGGTGGAGATTTTTCCCCATCATTTCCTCCTGTTCGCGTCGAATCAGCTGCGTCGAAGTTGATTTTTCTGGAATTCCGCGGCTGCTTTCGGATCTTTTCTTTTTCGCCAGCTAGATCCGCAATTACTGGAGAATCCCGTTTTTTTGCTTCTGATTGGCCGAAGGATTTCCGCCACTGTTGCGTGCCCGATACTCAGCGCGTGCGGTTTTCATTTTGTTGCAGTCGAAGATTCGATGACTCGACACCCCGCAAAAATCACACGTGAAGTTGGCGTTTTTCGGACGTTGCCGCCCTTCGAACCTGTCGACTTCCATCGGGTCGGCGGACGTGGGGTGAGCTGAGCGGTCACCCTGTTGCGTACTGCCGACGTGCGTCTGTCGTGTCCCGTCGTTGACCATGTCGAAGTGTTCCGTGGCCGAAACGACTTCACTGTAGCTCGTGTAATTCGTCGCTGCTTCCTGTCGTTTGACTTCGGTCTTCAGTCCGGCGAGGTACGACTGTAAATTTTCCCCTTCGGTCAGGTCGGGAATTCGGTTATAAAATTCCTCCAGCTGCTGCGTGTACTGCGCTACACTCCCGAACTATCGATGTCGATGAATTTTTTCCCGGGCAAGGAAACCCGAATTTATCGGCTCGAAACGATTTAACAGGTCGGTACAAAACTGCTGCCACGTGGCTTCGCCGTGGATGAACGTGCTATTACCGCCGATCCACTCGAGTGCCGGCCCTCGCATCAGTATCGCCGCGAGTCGTACGCGTTGACCGTCCCAGACTGGCGACCTCCATCCGACGGCTGCGAAGTAGATCTCCATGCCGGCGATCCATCTGCGGACGTCGGATTTTCGATCGCTCAGATCGAACGGCTCAGGTGGGCGCGGTTTCGGGGCCTCGAGAAACTGCTGTAACTACCGCGTCATCGCCGTTGTCGTTTCGTGTTGCGCTCCGGCGAGTCGAGTTACTCGCTCGAACTCGTTTCGCCACGCTTCGCGATCCGCTCGCATCTCCTCTTGAAGGGCTGCGATGCTCGCGAAGAGCTGCTGGGTAACTTTTGCGTTGTCGAAGTTTGCCATCCTGTTCAAAACACGCGCCGGGGGGGGGGGGGGGGGGGGGGGGGTTGATTCGAAAAAATGCGGAGCTGGTGCTTACCAGAATCGGCGTCGAATTGGTCGGCCCCGGCGGTTTTTCGAGGCAGGTTTTCCCGCTGCTGCTGCTTTGTTGAGCGCGGCCGAGTAAGAAAAGCTCTGATTACCAGGTGTCACAGGATCGAATGTGTCGAGGAAAGGTTGCACTATCGATCAGTACAAGGTGTTTTTATACTTCTAAAGTACATCAGGTAACCAGGTTTATCTTATTCCAAGGGAATAGACCCTTCTAGAAAATAGAATCACTCTGCTTATACCCACGCGAGGCTATTGTCTTTAAGGGAGTACGGCAGGATTACGCTAGATATAGCGTACCAGTACATCCCGAGCCTGGTCGGTGATATAATGAGAATATCAAGATAAACCAAAGGTTTATGAAAAAAGGAGAAATAGGAATCCAAATGGAATGAGATAAAAAGAGGAATGAAATGGAAAGGGAATATGGAAAGGAGAAGAGAATGGGACGGGGTCGTACTCTCACGGTCTTGTCCGGTGGCCGCCGCAGGGTTGCTTGTCTCCGCTCCCGGACGTCCGGCTCCTGGGGCCGCGTAACAGCCGTACTTGAACCAGCACCTCGGGCGGTTGTGGCCAAACCGTCCGCAACGGCCGCACTTGTAGGCGTAATCCGCTGTCTCGAACCTCGTGTGGTTCTCTGGCCGACCGGGCCAGTGCTCTACAAGGGTGGGGGGGTCATACACTCCTGTAGTCACCCATGTATGCGCCGCAGGAGGCCGGCTGGTTGATGTCGCCTCTGCCCGCCACCCCTCCACCAACGTCCCTGTACCCTCGCCATGGTTCCGGGTTTGCAGGATATCCCCGTCATACGCCCTGCCCATCGTCTGCTCCATCGGCGCTCCGCACTCCCGGGAAGGAACCCTCATTCTCCCTGCCTGGCTCTCCCTGCCCCGGTCCATCGGCGGCCCCACCGACTCCCCACCGAGCGTATCGTGACGTCTGGAACAGATATGAGCGAGCCCGTGCTGCGGTCTCGTGCGCGCTTGGTGGGGGCCCGGTCGGTGGGCGTGGGGGGGGTTCCTGGGGAGCGGGGTCACCGGCCCCGAAGAGGTAGTTTGCCATGTCCGGAAAGTCCCTTCTGCACGCTTGGACAAGCGCGTTCCATTTGATCTCGCTGCAGCACTTCACCAGGCGCCAGAAGAAAGCCCTTGCCGCCTTCCCAAACCGCCTCAGGTTCTGCTCCAAGTGCCAGGCACAAAAGTAGTAGGGAATGTGACCTGGCAAGATCTCTCGAGCTGCGGGTACAAGACCCTTGTCCCTGTCGCTGATGATGGATGCTTCGTCACGTTCTGGCCATTCCGGGAGCAACTCCAAGAGATTCTGCAGGAACCACGTCCAAGAGTCCTTGTTCTCGGACTCCACAAGTGCCCAAGCCAGCAAAACTATTTGCTGCTTGCCATCTAGCGCGACACCAATGAGCAGCACTGCCTTCTGCGTGCTGATCAGATGGGTGCCGTCAAGAGCTATCACCGGCCGGCAGTACTTCAAAGCGTGCCTAGAAGCGCTCGGGTGGATGAACAGGCAGAAGAAACACCCTCCTTTAAGCTCAAGCCGAATGTGAATGTCAGGGTCGATGACCTTGAGCCGCGTAACCATCAAAGGGATTTGCCGGAACGACTCTGGCCAAGCTCCGTAGCGCTCCATCATTATGACCTCTCGGAGCCACCAAGCCCCTCCATCAGCCTCATGAGTTCAATGGGCGCAATGAACAGGTCGACCCACACCATGTTCCCATAGAGGCGGAGCAGCACCAGCTTCTTGTTGGCGATGCCGACAGCGTAGTTGTGCCTGGCGCCAACAGGGCAAATGTGGTTTTCGGGCGGGACGAGGGTGGTGATCGGCCAAAAATCGCCATGCTTCACCTGGGCATACGAGCACCCCCACAAGCAAGCGGGGAGGAAACCGTCGGACGTGGCCTTGCACCCGATGACCACACGCGACGCCTTCACTAGCAACACGCGAATCCCAAACCGATGCTCGAGAGCAAAGGCTAGGACAGCCTGCAGGCACTTGTCACGTGACGTGTACAGCCCGCCAAGCCTCAGCAGTGCACTATCATCCGGATACTCTATGCGTGGGTTGAACTCTGGTGCATGGTGCAATCGTCGCATAGCCTGTGCATGCGGGTCTGACGCACGTGCTCGATGGATACATGGCGGCCGCATTCTAGCCGTAACTGCAATCAAGTGGTGAGCCTGGTTTGGAGGTGACGGTAGGTGTATCAAGCGTGCGTTGTGAGTATGCGGCAGCCTGGAGCAATAAGGTTGTAGAGGAAACGTAAGAGCTAGAGGGTTCTCGATGTACGAACAGATGTAATGGGGTTGAACGCTACGCGCGCGTGGTATACTGCGATGGAAGGCGCGCAAAAATCTCGCGAGACCTCGCGGGTAC